AAAAGTCTCCAAAGAAAGCATTTAAGCAATTGAGTTGCTAAGTGAAGTAGTCACTTTTTTTTTTTTTTTTTGTAACATGAACACCATTTTTACTTGAAAGAATAAGTTAACAAATTACAGTTATTCAGACTTGGATACTTGGCAGACATTTTTCTGGAAAATGAATGAAGCAAGCTTGTTACTTCAAGGAAAACTGATGACATTTGTTGCCAATGAAATGATTTAAGCTTTCAAGTGGCTGATTATTGTTTTATTTAAATAGGCAAATATTTTAAAACATTTCTCAGTTTTCAGGGGATCTACGTAGGAGATACTGGATAGAGTGGGAGGACAATGTGGAACAAAACACAAAATCATTAAAAAAAAAAAAAAAGGGACGAGGTTTGCTGATCTGATAGAGCCTGGTGTAACCCCTGAGACTGCAGCCCCTGGCTGCCCTTCAGATCTGGAATTGAAACCACTCCTGTGGCTTCTAGCCAAACAAAAGACAGGCATATGAGCTTTACATTTACATTAGGTAGATATACTCCTAGGAGCTCTGGTGGTGTTGTGCCTAAGGCATTTGACTGCTAACCAGAAGGCTGACGGTTCAAACCCACCAGCCACTCCTCGGAAGGAAGACTGGGCAATACCACCTCAGAAACTCAAGGAGAGGTCCCTATGAGTTGGAATTGACTCAATGGCAGTGAGCTTGGTTTTGGTTTTCTAGATACACTCCTTGGAGAGATCAACCATGGGAGAATAGAAGGGCTGTGTATGCACAGGGAGATGGCTCAGGGGGCAGGAGTGCATGGGAGGGAAGGACACAGGTAAGAGGTGGCTATGGGGAGGAAGTGGGAGAAAAGCTGTTGTATTGTGGGAAATTTTAGTCGATGTCATGAGACAAAGTGTATGTGAACTGCTGTATGGAAGATTAATTTGCTATGTAAACTTTTACCCAAATCACAGTAAAATTAAAAAAAAAAATTCTCAATTTTAATTTCTAATATGGTGCATACTGATATACAAAACTGACATAAAGAGCCCTGATGGCATAATGGTTAAGCACTCAAGCTTGGCTGCTAATTGAAAGGCTGGCGGTTTGAACCTATTAGCCACTCCACAGCAGCAAAGACCTGGCAACCTGCTCAAGTGAATCAGCCTAGGAAACTCTATGGGGCAATCCCACTCTGTCCTATAGGGTCACCATGAGTCAGAATTGTCTTGACAGCACACAGCAACATAACTCACATGAACAAAAGCTCTTTGAGGTCTTCCATTTTTATGAACATAATGGGGTTCTACAGTTCTGATGGTGGTATAGCTAAAGCATAAAGGTCAGTGGTTTGAAACCACCAGCTACTCTGTAGGAGAAAGGTGAGGCAGTCTGTTTCTGTAAAGATGTACAGCTCTGGAAACTCTATGAGGCAGTTCTACTCTGTTTCATAGAGTCACTATGAGTCAGAAGACTTAACAGTGGATTGTTTTAGACCAAATAGTTTGAAAATCATTGTATTAGAGCTCTGTTGTCTCAGTGTTCCTTTTTATATTTTATTAGAAATTACTATGTGTAAATGTCAGCTAATCTCCAGCTAATTCATGCCCAAATTCCTGAAATATATGTTGTTGTTGTTATGTGCCGTCCAGTCAAACTCGACTCATAGCGACCCCTCCTTGGGTTTCCGAGGCAGTATCACTACGGGAGTAGGATTGCCCAACCTTCCTTCCGAGGAGTGGCTGGTGGGTTTGAACCGCCAGCCATCTGGTTAGCAGGCAAGTGTCTTAGCCACTATGCTACCAGAGCTCCCGAAATATATGTAGAGACCTCTTTTCTTGAACCTTACAAAAACTGTACCCCAACCCTTGCTCAGGGAGTCAGACTTGGGTGTGGCTCATCTCCTTACCTCATGTGCATGATGATAAGTTACCTTTCCCCTGTATAAAAAAAAAAAAACAAAACGAAACTACTGTGTGTGTGTGTATGTGTGTGTGTTGGGGGGTCTGTCCAGGGGGAGATGTATTCTGAAAGCACTTACAACATAAATACTGTCTATGAAAATTACATCCGATCTACCTCATGAAGGTGGTCATGGTGAATACTGAGAGGATTCCAGGTGGAAGTGAGCAAAGGCATACCAAAAAAAAAAGAGCTCAGTGCCGCTGAGTCAATTCAGATTCACAGCACGCAAAGGCCTGTTGCTGTTGTTAGGTGCCATCAGAGGTGGCTCCTACTCATAGTGACCTTATGTACAATAGGATGAAATACTGCCCTGTCATGCGCCACATCCTCACAATCCTTGCTATATATTAGAGCCCACTGTTGCACCCACTTTGTCAATCCATCTTGTTAAAGGTCTTCCCTTTTTTTGCTGACATTGTTGTTATGTGCCATTGAATCGGCCTCGACTCACAGTGACCTCTCCTTGGGTTTCTGAGGGGATATCACTATGGAAGTAGAGTGCCCAACTTTCCTTCCAAGGAGTGACTGCTGGGTTTGAACCTCCAGTCTTCTGGTTAGCAGTCAAGTACTTCGCTGACATATTGTTATTGTTGTTATGTGCCATCCAGTCCTACCTGACTCATAGCAACCCCTCCTTGGGTTTCCCAGCTCTGGTAGCATAGTGCCTAAGGCGCTTGACTGCTCACCAGAAGGCTGGCGGTTCAAACCCACCAGCACTCCTCGGAAGGAAGGTTGGGCAATCCTACTTCCGTAGTGATACTGCCTTGGAAACCCAAGGAGGGGTCGCTATGAGTCGGGGACGACTCGACGGCACACAACAACAACAACAACAACAATCACTACCGAAGTAGATTGCCTTACCTTCCTTCGGAGGAGTGCTGGTGGGTTTGAACCTCCAGCCTTCTGGTTAGCAGTCAAGTGCCTCAGGCATTACGCTAGGGGTGAGTAAATAAGCCTATCAACAAACTTTAAGTACTTCTTTTGTACAGAGTCCTGGTAGGCACAAAATGGTTAAGTTCAGACTATCCAATAAACACCCAAAATGACAAATAAAATTCTGCACCGTGAACATATATATTTTCCTAAGGAAAGGGCCTAGATTCTCAAAGGGATCTATCAACTTCAGAAGGTTAAGAACCACTGATGTATAGGATAAACTCCATATCATTCTGCAAGCCCCTTGAAACCTTTCAGAATCATGTCAAATCACTTCCTCCCTCCCAGTTTATGCTCCAGCCAAACGTTAAGTACTTTTAAGTTCTCAACAAGAGCTATGATGCTTCAACTTTTTACACCACTGTACATAAAATTTTCTTTGCCTGGGAACTCACTCCCCAAGTGAACAACTACTTCATATGGCATTTTTATGTGTTTCATGAACTGTTTCCTTAACAGATCATGAAGAAAAGATCATGTTTTATTCACGTTTATACCCCTCAGTGCCTGGCACAGTAGTAGAAATGCAAATATTTGTATAATAAATATTTAGTGTACCATAAAACTCTCCTATGTAACAAGCTGTGGAAAATGAAAATAGTATTTCCTTGAAAAAGATATTTTTGAAAATGTATCAGACCTATAGGAAGTAATGAACTTATCACCATAGATGATTTAAAATGTTAAGGAAAAAAAAAAGTTATCTGCAGTATTTAAAAGAAAAACATTGACAACATAAGGACAAATAAAAACAAATGCCTTTCCATTTAAGCGAAAATTTAAATTATTAACTATAAATTTAATTGTAACTCTTAATCATACTAAATCTATGTATGTAGACATATATCTTTATGTAGGTATAAAGATTTATTTCTTAGCCTTTATAGTTAATTAGCTTAAGTGTGATTTTCATCCCACAATTTCTTGCATATGCTTTAATAATTATTCTTTATATCTAATTCTGGACCCAGCTTTAAAAAACCTGTACACACTGATGTGGCTTTCAAGTAGACATCTGTGTGAAATCAACACTACTTCAGTTTTCAGCAAAGTTTTAGGGAGATGGTGGAGGCTGGATTAAGCATCCGAGGAGAATGTGAGTTTCTGTCATTTTAAAAACATCCTCCGTAGGTTATTTAAAACAGGAACTCGGAAGTTCTTACTCTTCACCAATTACCACTAAAATTATAAGGTTAAACAGTTACGGATGTAATGGTGCTGGCTATAAACACAACTTGCTTGCACACTAGACGGATGCCAGCTGCCGATTAATAAGAGCCTAAAAGTCAGCACCGAGATACGTACTAAGTCACGAAGTTTGAAAGAAACCTTCACTGCCTGGTATATCCATTAACTCCTCCAAGCGAGTCATCACTGCCAAGGTCGAATTAATAAGTCTCTTTTGATGTTAATGATTGAGTGTTCCCAAGAATGGACTAAAAGCTGACTGCAGAATGCTGCTCGGAAATACCCAAAACAAACTTGGGATGTCGACTTGGGGCATAGTAGTAAGTAAACAAACCTAACTAGAATCGTTTTCTTGAAGACCTTTCCCTCGCACCCCTAACCCACAGTTTATTTTTAACTCGAATATGGAGCCAATCTTAAAAGTAAATTAAGAACTGAACGCTCCTCAAATTACTCATGCAGCTTTTGAAGGAACACGGGCACAAGTCAGTACCAGGCCGAAGTGGCCTCGCTGCTCCCCCTGCGCGGCGCGTCTCGGGCCTCGGGGTTTCGGTTAGACCGCAACAGGAAGTTTCCCCTTCCCTTGCGGGAAGCAGTGAAACCAAAGAGAAATTTGAACTCCCATTCCTCCCATGGGGCAGCAGAGGCGAGCTACGCAGAGCGAGGGCGGCTCCGCGCGAGGCGGCGGCGACCCAGCAACGACGCGGCCGCAGACACTCGTGATTCGACGCCGAAGCGGAGTCTCCGCCCCGCGCGGCCGAAGTTGCGGCCTGTCCTTCCTTACTGCTTCCCTCACCGCAGCGGCCTCGGGGCCAGCGCGGGCGGGCTGCGCCCTCCGCCCTGGGTACCCACGCCTTTCTGGCCGAGAGCGCCGCGGCGAGAGGGCCGCGGGTACGAGCGCGGAGGGGAAACTGCGGGCTTAGCCAGCTGCACTCACCCACTCGAGGACCTTGATGAAGCCGAGCGGCTCCTTGAGCGGGTTGAGGTTGATCTGGAAGCCGGACATCCTCTGAGGGAAGGAGGGAAAGAAAGTCAGGCGACGGGCAGAGAAGGAGGGGGACACACCGAGACCAGAGCAGCCCAGCGGCGCGGAAAGACAGGCGAGGCGGGCGGGGCAGCTCAGGGGCGGGCCGAGAGGCCACGGGGCGGGGTGGGCGTGACAGCGGCGGTTGAGCCGCTCTGCCGAGGCGCTGGGGCGGAGACGGAAAGGGGCGGGCGTGGGAGGTCAATTGCGGGCAGGGCCTGGAGAGGGGAGGCTCCTCCTCGGGCCGCACCTGCCCGAGCCGGCTGATCCGCTGGCGAACTAAGTAGATATTGGACGCCATGCTGCGTGCGCCGCGCCCCCTTCCCCTTAAGTCCAGCGGCGCTCGGCACTCCGTCTCCTCCCGCGCACGCGCGCGCTTTTCGGGTTGACGCCTAGCGCCACGCTTCCTACCGCGTGCGGCAACCGCGCTCTGTCGCCCCCAGGGGCGCGGGGACGAAGTCTAAATACACCCGAGTCCGCGTGCGCCGTGATTGCGCCTGCGCAGTGGGGTGTCGTGCCAAGAACGACCATCACTCCCTACTCCTCCGGCTGACATCTCTCGTGACTACAACTTTCTTCCAGTTTTCTTCCGTACAACAAGGAAGACCTCATTTCCCTCGAACGTTTCCATCTGTTTCCCTTCACGTTTCTTAACGTTTAGATGGTTGCTTAAAATAGTGCCATAGCTATAAGTTCATGTGAATGATCAGAATTCCCAGGTGTATAGTAGAGCTGACAAGGGGCAAGGTTATGGTCATTACTTGGTCACAGCCA